GTAAACTGAGCTCACAACGATGGTCCTTTACTTCGGGATCCCATGTTTTAGGTGATTGAATTATGGCAGCGTTTGCAGTTTCAGATGGTGTTGTAAGGCAGATGGGGCCGGATTGCACAGTGAACAGGTCTTTCTGGCGCTTGGCCGTGGCGTCACCCTTCTAGAAAACAGTTTGGATGCGCTTTTCGTGGACTGTTCTTTCCTGTGCAGGTTCGTTTATAGTACTCTTTTAGTATACTTGAGCCACAATCAAAACCCGGGTAGATGAAGGTTCAGTCCCAGCCGGAAATAGTTACTGCCGCCTTTATAGTTCTTTACATGGCTCTGGGTTCACCATTTGCGTACCAGGTTTTGATTGTCACTCACTTGTATTATCCTACACGGGTGGATCCACAAAAGCCACACCCAAACCGTTTTCTAGAACCCTGCTCTGCCAGAAAGCGCCTCAGGCTTTGTCCGGGAGGATGGTACAGCGACCGCGTCCTTGACCTCCATGCTGGTGCGGAAGCGCCGGGATTTGGAGCGCCTCGGTCTGCGAGAAGGCGGTAGCTCACTTGCCCAAAGCGAATCGTCCTTTTGACCTTTTGGTTTTCCTGGTTTGGTCCATATTTAGTCAAGGTTCCAAAAGGTTGACCTTTTAGGCAGCTGAGGTAGGCAAGCGGCTTGTGACCATAGAGCCAGCTAGCAAGTTCCGAACTTTGAATGAAGAATGGCTCGTTGTTGAGCAAGTTGCAGGAGGTTGCGTTGACAACATGTCCTTCAGGCTTGGTAATGGCAACCGCATCGTTTACTAGCGCGGTGTTGACCAAGAGCCAAACAAACACTCCTGTTCCAAGCACGTGTGGTATGCGCGGAAGTGTTGTTTCAGCAGTTGTGGTGCACACCTTGTGTTTTCCAACACATGGGTGTGGCTCAAAATTAACCAGGAGGGGTTACGCAGGTTTTGGTCCATGTGTCCACTTACCAGGGTTCCATTTTGGGACCGGTTTTTTGAGCCACAGCCACATTGCTTTGTGAGTTGGTCAGAAGGGAGCACTGAAGCGAATCTCGCTTGCCATGGCTTATGTTGGGTCGCTCACATGCTGGCCCTGAGTCAAGACCGAGTGGTTCCCAGTTCTTCCAGTTAACTCCCCTTTTGCATATCTTGCTTTTTTGGGGTCCCCTTTGTTTTCCACTAACCATGCAAAACATATAGTTTTTTGGCTGGGGTCCGATTTTTCCAGCCAAGTATTGTGGGTAAGCAGGGGGAACCCCCCATCATGCGAAACCTAGAGGTAAGGATCCCGACGGGTTAGCCTTTTGCGCGCAACGCCGGGATTTGGAGGCACTGGATTTGGCCGAGCTGTTGAATGATCCCGCGGGATCTGGGTAAATTTGTCAGGGGACCGCAGATTTTAGTCCTTGTTTCTATTTACCAGGCTAAGCCATGTTGGGTACCTGGACCCTCAAACTACCCATAAAAAAGGGAATTCACGTGGTACTCATTTTTGACCCACACCCGGCTGTTTTTAAGGGAACCAAAATGGTCTGCCGACCATTGTGAGCGGCAGGGCTGGGAAAGTATCCCCGAGGTGGGCCGGGATGGGAGTTGCAGGGAATGGGAGACATTAAGGCACGAATTGACCAGTTGACATGTGACGCTTGGCTGTTTGTCTAGAGGTCACTAAAGGGCCCCCAAACGGCGTTCCAAAGGGCCCTCAAACGGCGTTGCTTGTTGGGGACGGCGGGATACCTTATTGCTCTTTTGGCAGCTTTCTGATGCAAGACGCATGGAGCATGAGCCCTGGGCACTTGCGGGCTGAGCCATGGCGGCGCGTTTGCTCCCCCAACTGGAAGCAAACAACTCCAGGGTTGAACAGTTGAACATTGGCTGTCCTGGTCTTCAGTTGTCACTGGCACACGATGTGCTACATGGGCTTTTGTATTCCGTTTCCATGGGGATGCAAAGCACGAGAAGCAACCCAAGGGGATTGGTGTGCTTGATTGAAGCTGACTGGGAGGCGTCGGGGAGATACTGCTTCCCGTATTCCATTTGCTCACCTTTGCTAAACCCAAGGGTTGCTCGAAGCATCTTGACACATTGAGCTCGAATGGGCTGCTCTGGGTCAGCAGCTTGTGTCTCTTGTGTTTCTCCGAGGCTTTGGCACACGGCGTCACGGCATGCGGTCTATTCGAGCACAGCGCAGGGCGTAGGTGCGCAGCTGCCACTGGCCTCACGTCCTCAACACAAAACTAGCTGATGCTTACGCATTGACCAGATTCGCTGATGCTTGCTTTGGAAGGTCTGCAACACAAACTTCTAGCGTACTCAGCGTGGGGGAAACCTCACCGTGACAACTTGCTACTTTGGCAGAGTCCAAGGGACCTAGCCGGGGGTTACCCGCTTGGCAGCTGCAAAAAGTCGTCGCCGCACGCCAGGAAGCAGAAGACCGTCTGCTTTTCCGCGGACCTCGAGTCGATCGAGCCCTCCGGCAAGCTGAACCGGGTGTTTTCAGCGTAGGTCCGGGGCCCTGGCGTCCCCAGTCGACAACGGTCGCCTTTTCCACTGGGGGATAAATAAGCAGCCCCCTCTGGTCGGAGGTGCATTTTGCATGGATGTTAGGACTTTAACTGTTTGACAACCAATGGGTTTTGCATTAAACCACTAAAAGTTAAACTTTAGTAGGGGAGCAGAGAGCAAAAGAGTAGAAACCCTTTTCAAGGGCGGCGGTTCATTTCAGAGGAAAAGGCAAACCGTGGCCCGACAGGCGTCAGGCTGACAAGTCCCCATGTGGTGCCCCGTGGTTTTTTCTTTCCTGATTTCTGAAGGACCCTCGAGCAATAATTGCCGCAGATTGCTGGATGCCAGTTGGGGCATACAGAGGGAAGTATGATCATTGTGTGAGCATGGCTGCAAGCATTGCTATATCAAACAGGACCTGACTCTCCGTATGAAGAGTCAGGGCTCGGCATTTCCGGGTGCCAGCCGTAGTATTCCACACGTACCTGAATTGGAACGGAGCATTTCCAGAGCGAAGATTTGCTCGTGTGCTGAAGAGCCAAATGCACGAGGGGGATGCAAAAGAAACAAGATGTCGCAGAAGGCCGACCGGCCAACTGACCGGAAAACTTGGAGTGGGCTCAAGGTCGACACCAAGCGCCGAATCCCCTGGCTAGAGCTGAGCTGGGCGCTAAACCGCCCATTCAAATTGGACATGGCCGTTTTCGGACGCCAAAATCGAATGGGTGGTTCTTCTTCTTCTTCTTCTATTTGGGCCTGTTTTTTTGAGGGTTCCCTTCTTGGGGTGGTTCCAAAGGAAACCAAAAGGAGAACCACTAGTTTGGAGGTCCCCTTTTTTGAGACACTCCCGTTTAACGCCCGGCTTTGCTGCGTCAGTGGCACGACTTTTTCCAAAACGCCAGACTGCCAATGGCATTTGGTGGAAGCCGTCCGGCGATTTCTCAGTCGGACGAGGCTGCCTGGAGTCATGTGTCTTGAACTGGGTCCCTCGACTGCTTCCTCTAAAATGCTATCTGTATTAGGGTGAGATCCCTTAGCTGTTTCCTCTAAACGTATTAGTTTTATCAGATAAATCTGGAGCAGAGTTATAGGACATATCATGTTGCGTGCCTCACATGTGGGCCATGACAAGCCGGGGGCCCTTTTGATTTAAAGGGCGCCCGAACTTTCAAGACTCATGGAGACACCAGGTACGCCTAAATCCTCATCCTGATTCAACATATCAGGGATTGCGTTGTTTGGCGCACGAAGGAAAAGTTCTGGCCAGATGATTGCCAGCTTTGACTACCATGTTAGTTGCTGTCAGTGAGACGGTAGGCAGAATCGCGGAATGAACCGTGATTGGCAGCGTTTCAGAACTGGCAATGGAAAATGGCAACCGCTACATGCGTCTAGTCTTCCTGCGGCGAATTTAATATGCCGGCTCAGCGGAGAAAAAATGGATTGCTTGCAAGTGCTCCAGGGGCAGGTTTCAAGGCCTTCTAAGGGGCCGATTCTTTCCATTTTCCGCGGTCTGTCGGCTGTTCCAGTTGCGTGCTGCTGACGGTACCCGTGAGTTGCTTTGGCAGCAATGCAGCGGCTTTGGCTGCCCATTCAGATGCGGCGACCGAAGAACTGATCCCGCAGCCGTCTTCATCTTGCATTTTAACTTATTGCTATGGTTGTTGTTGGGAAACATTTTACATTTTTGCTTATTGTGGTTTAGTGGGAAATCCCCACCAAACTGCTACAGTTTCAATTTTTGCTCCCCTTCCAACGTCAACCAAGATTGCAGCTACATTGGCACAGCACTTTGAGCTCCAATGACTCCAAGCCGGTGGACCAGCTAAGCTCTAAAGTCGCTCAGCAACCTTCCAGCGCGCATCATCCTGGTTGCAAAGAACCGCAAACCAGCCCTAACCACTAAACCACCAATCCACCAATCCAAACTTTCATCTTGAGCCCTTCAGATGGAACTGCAGTGCCATAATTCTTGCTGCCATATCACCATGCTTTGCAGGCCTTTCCGTGAAGCCGGAGGATTTGGAAACAGGAGCGGCGAAGTTCTCGGTTGGTACCATGCTTGGTAAAGGCTGAAACACTTTGGCGCCATTTTGCCAAGGGCTGTTAGGACCTCAACTTTTTGCCAACGAATTTGGGTTTTCCACTAAACCACTAAAGGTTAAACTTGTTGCAGGGGAGCAGAAAGCAACCGAGAAAAGGTTAACCCTTTATTTCTGGGGCGTTTGGGCAACTGAGAGTTCGCTCCCCCGGTTTTAAGATGCTTTAAGCCAACTGGAAGAAACGCGCCGCTTCGTTGATGCGTCGCGCTCAAAATTCATGAAAGATCGTCATACCCAGAAGCTGGGTGAAACTTGACTCTGTCCACGTTACCTTCAGGCCTCAGGGAGGTACCCCTGTTGGGAGTGGTATAGGGGGAGAGCGTCGGGAAGTGCAGCCACGCCTGAGCAGGCGACTTCCAAACCACTTGCATATCACGATTTCATCCCTACACCCGACCGACCGACTCATACCAGTCCCGCACTCACATACAATTCCCCTCCCATAGCCCTCCCATAGCGCTCCCAATCCTCAACTCCTTTAAGCAGCGGTAGAGGGGGTCCCCGAGGCCCTCTCGCTGCGCAAAGCGCTGCATGAAGTTTGAATTCCCACTACACCTCCGCAAGAGGAACTTGTTGAGTTCATAGATTCTGGCCCTGTCCAAAAGCTTCCCTTCCCAGTAAACCGCGCGTTTTGGGGCGGCTAATGACGCATCATGACGATTGGGGCAAGATAAGGTCTACTCGATCCTTGGGATCCCTCATGATTTCCGCCCGTGATACGGGCTTTGCAGTTGGCAAAGGTTGGTTGGGCAAGAAAGGTCCTGCAAGTTGCTTTTGGGGACCACAGGTTCGTTCGCAGTCTGTTTGATGGATGATAGGCAAAATATAAATTTTGAAGCCCCGAGCTTGACCCAAGGGAAAGGCTTTTGGTCCACTTTTGGTATTGCCTGCTCCGCACTTGGTTTGTTTGCGTGCGGCCATTCGCTTTGGCGAAAGCTGGTTCACTTACTTTTGCCAAGCCCATAGGTGTCCTTTGTAGGTTATTTTGGTTAGAAATAGATGGCACTGGTTTAGGTTGGTTTATCCTATTGACCAGGGCCATCTATTTTCCAAAAAGGACACCTATGGTCAAGCCGCGCAGCAGGAGTCAGCCCGGTCCAGCCCTAAGATGCCTGAGCCAGCAGAAGTGTCCAAGCGCGCATGCACTACAAGGTCCCCCAGCTAGGTGCCCTTCTTTACTCTTTGTTGGGTTGTTGGGTTCCCCTACTAAACTTGACGACGGAAAAAAGGGTACCCTTATTCTAACCTCTCTACTGGAGGACCTAGATTACAAGTTCATTCAGAGGGCGTGAGTTTGAACCTCCCTCCAATCGATCTCGTCGACTTCAGTTGTGGAATCCTGAATTTACACGTATGCACCTGTGCGCAGGATTCCACTTTTTGACTACCTGCAAACAGACTTAAACCCAGCGGGTCATGTACCCCAAAAAGGGAACCCCTGGGTTTAAGTCAATTTGCAGGTCAAAATATAGAACCCTGCCTGTGTGTGCATGCCCAGCCATCCCCTTAGCTTTTTAGACTTTTAGTGTTTAGTGGGGGTTTCCAATTAACCCACTAAAAGTTAGTCACTTTTAGCAGGGGATCTGAGGGCAGCCCAGAGTATGCTTGCTTTTCCACTGCTCCGTCACCGGATTGCGAAGGAATCGCAGCCACAGACTCCCTCCTCCACGGGGAGGCGCGCAATAGCAGCATCGAAGCGTTAGGGAAGGGTCCTTGGATGCATTGCTTAGTTGTTCATGAGTTGTTACGGATGTGAGTGGCACTGCGTGATTCAATGCAATCATGCGGAAGATTTCGGGCACTGGCTGGTGCCGCAGATTGATTGCAGGTTGTTTCTAACTTGAATTTCTGAGTACGGCTTGTCCCTCCTCGGGAAGGCGTGTTGCAGACATATGACAGCCTTATTTTGAGCATTCTCGGATCCGTGCGATGCGAGACATTTCGGGAATGGTCAGAATGCAAAGGGCAAGGTCGAGTGAGTTGATCAAGTTAGTTGGAAGCGCTGCGTATACTCAGTGTGCACACAGGCGCGCTATGCTTCTTTGATGTCTTGCCCTCCTCGTGAGGGGTGTGTATTTGTGACGGTGTTGTCGGCTGGCACCGGGTTGGCTTATACACGTGTGGTTCCTATCATGCATGCCGTTTGTTCTTCAAGGATGTGCCGGCTCGCAGGCCATCCTGGCATTTTTGCGTTTTCAGTGGATGCATAGATTTAGTCAACACGGACCCAAAAGAGAGACACCCAGATACCCTTTTTTGGGGAAGGTTCCCCTGCTAAAATAGACTACAGGGAAAGGGGAACCTCTATTCGAACCTCTATACTCCACGAGGGTTATCCATTGTCCATGTTTTCCACACGCCAGCCGCCAGCCGAAGTTATCCCGCCAGGACTCGCATGCCGAAGGCTGGCAGCAGTCGAAAAGTTGCGCACGGCCAGTGGTGTTTTTATTGTCATGGCGAGTGTTTTTAGCGCATGACTTCGGTGCATTTTGCCTGGATGCTAGGGCTTTAACTGTTTGCCAACGAATGAGTTGTCCGTATTAAACCACTAAAAAATGAACTTTTAGCAGGGGAGCGGAAAGCAACCAAGATTATGTTCAGTATTTCTGGGGGTTATCAAATGTCAAAGTCTCAGAAAAACGGGGATTCTTCCCTTTAACCTAGCACTTAGGGGCGGTCTAAAAAAAGGGGCCAGACTGAAGCCGGCTGGGTCTGAGTGGTATCATTTCTAAGTCATCATGTTTCGAGCGGCCTCCTTTTGGGCCTTCTCATGGAAGCTTCCACACAGGAAGCTGCCTTTTGGTTTGATCCCATTGGTTTTTTATTGGGGAATTGTCATTGTCTTCTTGAGTGGTGCGTCCCCGAAGAGGAGTCTTGCAACTAACAGCCGGAAGCTCG